CGTTCCCTCCAAATTACATATGAAAATTATATAAATTCATTTCGAAAAATAACCGGCTACTTTAGTTGTTTTGACTGTCGGAAACAACTTTTCATGGCATAATAAGTCTCTCATCTTTGTTATGTACGGAAAACATATGTCTGGTACACTTCCTTCAAACTGAAAACCGAGTCGCAATGTATCAAATGCATTTAACGAATCTTTTGGCGAAGATTTTGCACATTCATCTTCATAAATGTTTTAACCTTCTTCCGCTCCATCAATCGCTTCCTGGCTGCTATTTTTTACGCTCTCCAATATGCCCTCTTAAAGTCTTAAAATTCTAAGTCTCAACATCGTTATCTATAATTAATCTTGTAATTGTTCATTATTCTTTAGCTGTCCTTTATATTTTTCAGCTGCGGCCACATATTAGTCAGTTCCTCATCTTGCCCATCGTCTTCATTGTCATTAACAGTAGTAGTATCAATTTAGGTGAAGAAGCCAGCTTTTATGAAGCAGTTGTGAACAGTTTTTTCAGTACACACAGTCACGTCAAAAAAGGCTGATTACTTTCAATTTCCATGAAAGCCTTCTTCAAAATTCAAAAAGTGTTAAGAGGCATTATCTCCTACGATAATGCTTCTCAACACTCCCTTGATCCGTAGGTTTCAATTTTGTAGTTGTATTTGGAGGAACAAAAAATAACCTTAAAATTTTTATACTTGTCTTTGATATTTTAAGGGTAAGCTTTGCAACTTATCGCTAGAGCAATTTTCCGTTTCTGTACAGACATGTATTTAATTAAATTTATCAATTCTTCATTTCCTTCCATATTTGCACATTAATCTTTATTACACATATCTATTTTTTTAATGTTAATGTTCTATGCGGTGAACATAGATAAAATAAGCACATTTCATCAGCTTTGAAGATAGCTTTTGGCTTGCACATTTCCATTATTTTTTTTTTTTTTTTGAAGTTTTCGATCTTTCTATATGGTACAGTCGTCTTCATTAACATATTTGCTTTCGCCGCAGATGATTTTTGCAATTACTGCATTACGAGTTTTTTTTAATTTATCCAGACACCCACTCGCATGAAATTCACTTTATCCTAAGGCCTTGGCTGTCCAGGCTTTTCCAGTACCTCGGTAGCTTTACCTAGCCCCGATACTAGTACATTTTTTCTCTCACCTGTGCCCAGCTATTTTAATGTTGCCTCATCAACATCTTCATAAACGCACATTTTCTTACTTTTGGCACTTTGGATTGGTAGAATTAGAGCCTGATGAAGTTTTCTCCTTTTTATGATTGTAGATAAACTATTTTTAAATACCGAATTTTATAGCGATATCTTTCCTTTTCACACCTTTGTTCACTTCGTCGAGAATCTGCATTTTCTCTTTAAGTGGTTAGGCATTTTCGTTTCTATATTTTTATCATTCAACACATAATTTAAAAAGGATTTGCAGTGTAAAACCAAAAATTTCAGAAATAAAAATAACGTGGAGCTGTTGCTTAATCTTAAACTAGTTTCTGAAATAAGGATTGGCTGGGAAATTATTAACAAATTTTGGGTAGATGCTTTCTCGTTGAAAATCCCCCTCCCACTTCTTCCGTCATGTAGAATGAAATGGGAAAACAGATAACGAACCGCCTGCCTTTCTTTTGGACCACAGCTGCATGCACGTACGTGTCACAGCAAATGCAAAAGTAATTTTAAAGTAGAAAGGAAAGTCTCTAAAAATCATCAGTTCAAAAACGTTCGTTAAATATAGTGTTTTTCTGTATTTGGAGATTTTTATACTTGGAAATTCCCACCTCATGCAGAATTCTGCAAAAAATTTCGCTAATAGAGGAATTCGTAAAATAAAGTTTTCGTTAAACAGAGGTTTGATTGTAATTCTTTTGTTTTTATTGTTTTATTTATATATTTTTTCTCTTTTATTGGTACTTCTAATAAATTCCTGCTTCCCATAACATTCAGCATCCACATTCCCACATATCTCTATCTTAAATGTGTGACAGACGATGATTAATACACGCCGAGTTTTCATTATATTTACACAAGTCAAAAATCGATTTGAGATTTGCGAAAGAAAACACAACTTATCAGCGAAGAGAACGACCGCCTGGTTCCAAAACATGTTTATGAATCACCACAAAAATGCTTGCCGTTTGCTGACATGAATAGAATGTACATTACGCATCGCGGCAGATAGTTTTGTGTGTTAGCCATATTCAAATAAGCAAACCACAAATCAGCAGCGAGACAATGAACTCTTTGCATATGAGAATCATTCAGTCTGTGGTACTGCCCATAGTCTACTATGTCACACACTATGGTCTGCGCGAAAAGGAGCAGGAGAAGCATAGGTATATTGTTGCCCGAGTCCTGGTGTATAAGAACATCGTAGTTCATTGACGAATTTTCCAACATGTGCTAGGGCTCACCAGCGGCCGAGCGGTAAAGTCGCTGAACACTAATAGCTCGGTCCGAGGTTCGAATCCCGCGAACGGGCTGGCTGCATGGGTGTTTTCGTGGTTTTCCCCATGTGTAACGTGTATACGAGCCAGTGTCTCTTAGAAAGCCCTCCACGATGGCATCCCTCTTCTTAGGCAGATAGCCCTAGTGTGCTTTGCCATAATTAAATACACCACACACTACACCACCAACATGTGCTAGAACGTCTGACTGTGGGGATTCTACAACGAGTTCACCAACAATTTATTGGATTGTACTGAGGTACTGTAGAAGAAATGTTTCTTTTTATGGACAATAACTCAACATATCAACCTATGGTGGAGTGCAAACACTGGAATCCAAGAACTATTATGTTCATCACATTTCAAACCTACGAAATAAAAATACAATCTCTGAAAAGATTCATTCGTTTCCTTATCCTCCTGCTGAAAAGGAGATGGAACTCATCCTTACTGTGAAGGAAAAGTGAGCCAATTTGTAAAAGGAAGTATTCTATCCCTGTTATTAAGTACCTGACAACATTATAAGAGACGAATTTAAATTCGGGGTGGCCGTATATCGTATTGGCGTACTTTTCCGCTTCATTTCTTGTAAACATGTACATTTACTCACCAATGGTATCCTTCAGAAATACGATTTTTTTAAAGCGGATATTAAAATTCAAACTGGAAGTTACTTGTGATACTTTTTGTACAGTGTTACGTATTAATACTCTCTCAATACATTTATTTCTGAATTTAGCTGCAATTATAAAACATTTATCGTGAAGATACAAAAGGTAAAAATATGCTTCTGTGGGTTTTGAGTGCCACGTTTGTTTCAGCATTCACTTGAGCACCTGATAAAGTTTTAGTCTGGCATTTTCGAACGATGTTCGAATGAAGTACCATTCAGTGTTAGACCTGCTTGACACGAGATGTGTTTAACACGCATTTGTTTGTCAGTCTTCTTGTAAAATGAACTTTATTTTTAATATTTCGAAATCTGACCAAGCTTTCCCAAGCCTTGGTACAAAACTCAAATGGTTATGTTTTACTTTCTTATTTTCTGAAAGCAAATCTTTATATATTTCAATGTGTGGTTTTCTACTATTTAAAGTAAAAAGTATTTGCTTAATAAATTAAAAACTTGCTAATTTTTTTTTTTTTACTTTTGAACGCGCAATCGTAATAAAGCCAATTTCTGTACATATTATTAACTTAATTTGCTACTGTATTATATAGCCTATATTTATTTATTACTCTGTTTTTTCACACTAAAGCAGATGTTTAGTTAATCTGAAATTATTAAAGATGTTGAGTATTTAAATTATAGTACGTTATTAAAAGATACAATGTAGGGAAAGACTTTGTTAATAACAATAATGTGTAATAATGTGCATAATAGTCAATACGTTGCTTTCGTACTTTACGATGAAGATGGTACTAAATTATATTGTGTGTGGAACTTGAATTGAAACTGAACCTTTAATCAGTATTTGATGTTTGTTATCTTCGCATGTCTTGAGCGAGATTTGAGCTTTTCTGTCCGGTAAGTTTAGACATACTCATTTCCTTTCAAACTATTAATTATATGATACCTGACATCATTGACATCACTATTAATTTAGTTATTAACTTACTTTACAAGTACTATGTTAGATTCAAAAAATCTATGTTAAAAAAAAGTCGTTGTGTTGACTGATCTGAAATCTGGTTTTCAGTTTTCCAAAACGCCATTTCACATAATTTATAAATAATATATACTTCTCATAGTGAAAAATTAACGTAAAAGTAAAAACATTTTCGTATAATTTAGCCGTTTTTCAATCAAAATAACAGCTGTAAAACATTAAGTAAGTTATCTTTTTTTGATTACAACACCTTCTGAAAATCTATACCTCTAATCTGTAATGAAATTGTCTTACAGTGAGCACATGTTATTCGTCACTGCAATGTTATAAAATGTTACACTGAGAAAAGTTCCCATAAAATTATGATTTTTATGTTGTTTGCATCAAGGATATAGTCCGAAGTAAATATTTTTTTACTGCATTTATTTTCTGTAACTACGCTATGGATTCTTTGTTACTTCATTCCATTACAATCATTGCATAAATGTATTTTAAGCAAAATTTCCAAAGTTTTTATTTATTTATTTACTTCCTTTCTTTATTAAGGAAAGGAAAAGCGGTTAAAATCCATTATTTTATTAGAATATAATACGCAGTTATTTAAAAAATCATTCTGCGTCAACTTCTTTTGTGGAACTTTTAAAATAAATTTGAGTTTCTCCATAGAGAAGAATACAGTTTATTTGCCTTCCATTTATATTGAATAAATGGAAGTGAAAAAAGAATAGTAGGTGATGTGAAAGTTTTTCCACCACTTATAAAAAATAATGGCGCGAAGCCGCTTTTCAACTTCGCTTCTTTAGCTTGCGTAGGCCCCGCTTTTTCTTTCCTGTTCTCGTTACTTAGTATTTATAATTTGCATAACCAAAGTATGAATGTTTTGGCATATGTGGTTGATGTTTGGCTGTGTGTGTGTCCCTAGCCGCCCCTCACCGTACCTCATCCCATTCCGCACGCCGCCATGCACCACCCGTCTCAGATGCCGCCGCCGCCGCCCCATTTCGTCGCCAACCATGCCACCACCGCTCCGCCAAACTCGACGCCGCCGCCAACTCAGCAGCCGCAGTGCTCGACACTTTTTGTCGCCAACCTCGGGCATTTCGTCCAAGAACAGGAGCTTAAGGATATCTACGGAAGGTGGGTGCCACATTTAGTCATTCAAAAGGTGGTGGGAAAATGTATTGCATCACCTCACTTATAAATGTTCTTTTCTATAATGTGAACGCTTTTCCAGTCCTTGCTGTTCATTATCATACAGCATTCTTTCTTCTTGGAGAAGAGTGTTTATGTGTCTCAGAAATCACATGTACAATATTTGAAAAATGTGAACATGTAAAAATGTATTAGTTATTTTAGCTAGATTAAGTGCAACATTACAAAACGAATGGCTGTTGTCTTTTAGCTTTCAAAACCATTTAAGTTATTTTTTACCATTCAATTAACTAGTTGTATGTTCCCTTAATTTTACATCCATGTACCACATTACCGTGATGAGATAAATCATGGTGTGTCAGTAAAATTTCCTGAACTAGTTTCTAAACTTGTTCAAATGGTTCCGATTGAGGTTTGATTAATTTTCGATTGTATACACTTTATTCTATTATTAATTTTGAATTACTTTACTTTATCCATTGAAATTTATTTGATATTTAAATTAAATGCTGTAATTTACATTTAACTGCAAAGGAAAATATTTCGCACTTTGTGTTTCAAGATTGTTTATGTCTGGAAAAATATACTCTTCTTCAAGCTTTCATTTTATTTTCTGTGTATTTAAACCTCATAAGCATAACTTATTAAAGCATTTGTGGAAAATCTGCTTCTTGATTAGTCTGCGTGACTTACATTCAAAGAGTCTTTAGTCACGATTTAAATCATTTGATTACACATATGTCTACATTTTTAATCATCATTTTCCAGTATTTATCATTGAGAAAAGCTGTGTTATATTTGTAATTGTTTTGCATGTATAGCCAAATTTTCTTTTGTATAGAACATATCCTAGATTTACAATTTAGCTTTATACCCACACGAAATCTAAAAATGGTACTACAAAAACTAGAGGAACATAAATCACATTTGGGAATAAAAACCAGTTTCCCATTTTTGGAAGTCAAAATTATTTTTCATATTAATTCGGATGCGCCGTAACTTCTTCAGTGTTTATCGTAGCAACAACTTTTTACAATGTAGGCTTAGTGCCAAGGAAACTGTAATCACCGATGTTTACGTCTTTATTTAGGCTTTACTTTGAACCACACTTTGTTTATTTTAAAGCTACTACTGTTGCCTTTCGACCAGACTATGTTTTCATATAATGTTGCGATATTATTCTCCCATCAATAAAATTCCGAGTTCCATACTCAAGGACCCCATTCCGGATATGAATTCTTGGGGTATTTATAGGATTTCTTGCCAGTGTGGTTTAATTTACATTGGCCAAACTAAGAGAGCCTTAAAATTTCGCGTCAAGGAACATGAGGCATATGTTAGAAAAAAGGAAACACAGAAGTCTTCTGTTGCTCAACATTGTTGGTCCGAAAATCACACTTTCAATTTTTCTGCTGCCAAAATTATTCAAAAAGCATCTTCCATTGGAGAACTGGATTTTCTAGAGACATTTCTAGAGGCATTTCACATTCAAAAAAAATCTTTCTGTTCTTGTTAACGATCCTAATTCCAATCCATCTTTGCCTTTGGCCTTTAAAGAAATTATGTTTTAGTTCTGGTTTCACCAACAGACGGCGCCACTTGCTTATTCTTGTCTAGGCTTTCTTATCTTATCTAATCATTATTTCCTATCTTGTTCATTTGCGGTTTTGCAGCTGAGGATGGTGGTTCGGTAAAACCATCGAAACTAGTCCTGTGAAAATTTTGAAAATTAAAGCTGATTTTTGTTGTTTGACTTCTGAATTAGTACTTATTCGGCGTGTTATTGTGTCTTAATTACTTCTTTTCCCGGAGTTTCGAATTAGTAGAATTGTGGTTGACTTGTTTTTAAAAACACAACACACTTAACAGCAACGCAGTCCAACTTAGATCAGACTTCTAGACAGAGAACTTGACCTATAAGTAGGATAAATGGACAGTATTCGGAATCAGGTTAAACAAATTAGAGAAAATAACGAAAAGTTTGTACCTGACATGTGACACTAAAAGTTATTATTTCGAACCGGTTAATTTTTATAAATCTGTACATCTAATCATGACTGTTTGGTTTTAGTCCTCAACAGCTCTGAAACTAAATTGATAAAATAGAATCATATTTATACGCAGAAACAATTTGCCAAAAAATATCAGAAAATGTTCAGAAACTATACGGTGTATTAAAAGCAAATAAGTCACCGATGTAGTTTCACAAAGTTCTGATCACTCTTTCAACTCACAAAATTCTCTTTGAATGACTCTTTGCTACTTTAATACATTTCAACACGAATATTTTAAACATTGCCTTTCCTTATTTGTTAGCAATGTATTCAATGTAGAATCTACAGATGACAAACATTTTGCATTTCTGAATCCTTCCTTTACGATAGGATTTAAGAAAAAGGTAACGTAAACTATAATTAAACCTCTTCCTTGGTCTGTTTTGACTAAAGCTAATTTGTTAAGCGGGAAACAAGAATTTCGAATTGATATACACTAATATCTCCTATATTATAAATGATTCAACCTCATGGTCTTCTGATACAGGAAAATTTAGTACTTAACGCAGTACCCCTTCGACCGTGAAAGTTGCCTACCATCGAAAGAAGAAAATTAACAGAAGATCCTACCAAAATTTGCACCAGTAGTTCCTGCAGTATTCTGAAAGGACTGACGCCTCTTTCTTTAATAAACAATCAGTATTCGATCCGCTTCGTAAAAAGGCTTTATTCGATTTTTACTATTTTGTTAGGCCCTCCGAATTTATCGGAAGCACTGTTTGAAACAATATAAGTATAAATTTCCCGCAGGTAATTGTTCCAATCTGTGAATGTTTCGTCGAGCATATTCAGCTAACCATCTCCTGTCCATTAATATACATTTTTCTGATGGTAGGATCCCATAACTTTGAAAATAATCCACAGCTTGCTGCTCTGCAAAAGGCAGATCTCAAACTTTAATATTTCTAAATGCAAGAAAAAGTACAGCAATGACAGTTTATTTATATCCTTGTTTATAAAAACAAAACATGGCTTTCCAAGAATCAGTCGAGCTTACATCAGAAGAAACCGCAGACGTTATAAGTGTATTCCTGCATCATGCTCATACATAACTGGAGCTAAACCATGCTACCTGGCGTCAGCTTCACGGTCAGAGGGATAGTACGAATGTATCGAAAATTTAATATCCAAAAAGGTTTGAATTGTATGTAGCGGTTGCAGACTATTTCCCATTTATTAAAAGTGAGAAAACTATATCATGTAATTTTAATAATTTAGAATTAGCAAAGGAAAATATAATGTGGCTAAATTTTAAAACTTCAGCATGTAATTTTTTTCGCGAAGTGAAATGTTTTCCCTTCTTACACGTCTCCCTTTAGTTGTCGCAGCTCTTTCAGTAGCCAATATAGATTAATAGAACCCACATAATCACTTGAAATTTCAGGATAAACTCGTACAGAAGGATCTCATTCCTCTTTCTGAAGGAATTCTTTACGGTGTATATATATATATATATATATACGAATGAATGACGGAGTTTGTATGTGTGTGTATATATATGTACAAAAACTTCTTTATTTTGCATGAGTCTCGTATATAATATATATATATATATATATATACATATACATATACAGGGTGTCTCAAAAACGTAGCAACAAATTTTTACACGGGAGGTAGGGCGCATGATAAGGATTGAGAATTGTATAGCAACCTATGACCGAAAGCTTCATCGCACGCCGCTAGGTGATGCTCTGCACAAGATTTTCCTGGAAGTGAAAATGAGGAACTCCTCATTCGAGCGGTAGCCAGCATACGAAGAACGTGCAACAGTATACGAACTGTGAGCTTGTAGGCATCTACTTGGTGTATGGAACAGTTGAGGGCGATGGGCGAGCCGCTGAACCGAATATATCGATAGCTCATCCCAGACAGATATCAGCCGCACCACAGTGTGTTTGCGTGTGTGCATCGAAATTTGCCCTAGTACGGAACATTAAGAAGAGTGAGGCAGGCCACTATTGGCACGTTCGGTCGTTATGCAAGAAAATGCGTTGGCTACCGTAGACACTAATCTCAGTAGCAGCGTACATGCAGATGCCTCTACCTTAAGAGTGTCTCGTTGCAATGTACAGCGTGTTTTGAATGCCGAGTCCTTATACGCATTTCATCTGTAAAGGATTCAGTTAGTGCTTCCCAATGGTCATCCTGCACGTGTGCCTTTCGCAAGGTGGTTATCTACAACAAAGTGTTCGAGATATGAATTTCGCAGCTTATGTGTTGTTCACTGATGACGCCACATTCAATAGGGATGCGCATTCAATCAACAGAATGCGCATTTGTGGGCTCAAGAGAACCTTCACGGTGTGCGACACCACGTGGTACAACATCGCTTCGCAGTAAAAGTGTAGGCAGGTTTGGTCAGCGGCTGCTTAGTCGGGCCGTACCTTTCACCATCCTGCATGACCTCCACGAATTATCGAATCCTTCTGGAGCAGATTCTTCTCGGCATACTTGACAGTGTTCTAGCAATATGAAGCGCAACATGTGATTCCAATATGATGGGACGCCTTCTCATTTTGGACTGGCTGTTCTTAGGCATTTCAATAGGTCACTCCCGCTTCGATGCATTAGGCGTAGTGCACTGGTTCCCTGACCCCCACATTCATCTGATTTGTCAAGCCTTGATTTCTTTCTGTGGGGAACTCTAAAGTCTATCGTGTATCCCGATCCTGTGGAATCTGAAATGGATCTTGTAACAAGACTCGTCTGCGCTGCTGCTACAGTAAAGGAAACTCCCAGTGGGTTCAATTGTGTCCGACATTCAATATTTTGTCTGTGTCAGGCATTCTTTGCGTCTGATGGTGCAAACTTCGAGCATCTGCTTGTAACATTAGTGCTGTATTCCTCTTGCTCGTCATTGCACTCATAATTTCTAATAAATATTTCAAATTAATCATTGTCTTGTTGTCCTTTCCAATATTCTACTTTTGCTTCCACTTACCCCTAATGTTTCCGGTCATGCGTTGTTGTGCAATTCTCAATCCTTATGATGTGCCCTATCTCCTTTAAAAGTCTGTCGCTGCATTTTTGAGACACACCTGTATTATTTATGAAAACATAAAGAGTTTGTGTAAGCTTATTAAAATAAACTGCCTTATTACAGTATTCCTTTGAAAAGATTATGAATACGTATGAATAGGATTTTCCTTTTCCCCTCAAGATTTCATATTTTAAACAGTAAAGAAAATATATTTTTTACGCAGAAAATATAAAACTTTAGAAGAAAAAAACTGCATGAGAGATGAGGAAACAGTACCTATCCCTAAGATAGCTTACTCTGTAAGATTCCCACTAGTGTAATTCTCAGTTACTGTAGTGACGAATCTTAGGAACTAGTTAGCGAGTAATCGCTTAAGTTCGTATGACAAGAAACAACAAGATGGAAGGGTAACTAATTCTTTATTATTCCAATAAGATTTAACAAAACTCTGTCTTGGAGTGTACAATAAAAGCCGACACTTGGGCTTGAACTTAAAAGACTAAGAATTAAACTAAAACTAAGATTAACTAAAGAAATATAGCCGAAGCTATCAAGACTCTAATCGAGTTGGCCTCTTAACTCTATTTGACTACGAAGCTTATCAAGGGCCTGAGTACGGCCGAACGTAATAACAGCTTTCAGAGAGAGAGTAGCCAAAAGGCAGACGCGCGTAAATCAGAAACTCTGATTCTCTCTAACTAAGTAACTTCGCGGTTTAAATACCGCTCCTCCTCATTAAGTATTCAGAAAGATTCCAAAACTACGTTCTGGTCGGAAGTAGTAAGTTGAAGTTAAGAATTTGACAGGAAAGGGACTTTAACTTAATATTTAACTGTTAATAAAATTACCATAATCCTTACAACTCTATTCATACTCTGTTTTATTATTATTAGTTCGCACATGACATGAATCCTTATCAAAAATGTTTTCAAAGTAGAAATTAGAGTCAAGGATCATATTTTTCCCACTTTAAAATTTGTTTAAAAATTAATTCAAGTAAGCCTATCAAATGACTAAAAGTAATATACTATTGTTCAGTGAATTTGCAACATAACAAGAACATGCGCTACGCACACACATATTTATAGAAGTAATATCATATGATATATAAATCATAAAAGGCTGATAAAATAACAGTGAAAAGGAACACACTAAATTCAGTGCTTCGTGTGTGCACAAGAGATTGCACATAGAAAGGTACTGTCAGATAAAGGTATTGAATTCTTGACTGTAGAATATTATTTCAATCCAATACCCTACAAATTCGCAATGAATCAGTAATATCTGTGATACACTGGTCAGTCTTCACGCAATCATGTGTAACACGTGTTAGATGGGGAAGACAAATCTTGTGACTGTGCAGACCAAAGAAACGTTTTGTACGTTTTCGTCAGACGTCAGAGACGAAACGTTGGATACTGAGAGCCATGTAGGCGCTAGTGCTGCCTTGTTGAAAAGAAGTTTTCACAGGAGTTATAGGGCTTCTGATTCCAAACTCTCACTGATGTGCTGCTGTTTTCTCACAGTAAACGAGATTTGTAGAAAGTAAGAGCGTGAAAGTAATGTGATATCACCCCAAATAATGCCACTTAAGTGAGGTTCAGTATAACGTTCTACTATTAACCCTTCCAGATTGCGTTCCCCATGGTACCATTAAAAAAATATTCGGAACAATCTTCGGGCTCTCGCACTCGGCGGAGAAGATGATTTGAGTCCATTCGAGTTTCAAATGTCTTTACTCTTTGCATTGTGAAGTCCTTGATAGAGGACCGATATCCCTCTTCAGAAGATATCGGAGAATAAACAGTAGTAGCTGACAATGCCTGACGTGTCATTGTTTTCCGATGTTAAGAAAATTGCTGATGTTCTAATACTTTTGGATGTTGAGGCGCGGTCTGTCATAGAAATGCGTACCAAGTATATAACTATTCTAATTCAATTCTAGATGATCAACATCCCTCCCGTTGATTTACTGGAAATTCTTCTGTTTGCTGTGTCTATGTACGTACGATTGGAGTTTCGTCCAACACGTCAATAAGCTCACTAAGATTTTTAGTAAACTCATGGAGCTAAAAGAGCCTTTTCTTTCATTCCGGTATTCTTCTTTCAGGTCCTTGATTGGCAACGTAAGAACACTAAACACGATTAGCTTAATCCAGGTTCAATTGGCGTTTAAACTTTGTGTTTTCGTGGTTTTCTTCATAACGTGAACACGAATCAGTTTTCCTTTGAAAATCTTCCAGGAAGGCATCCCTTTCTTTAAACAAAATTTCTACTACACTTTGTCCTATTTGATTAAATAAATAAATAAATACCCTCTTCCGAAATCTGACAACTGTTCATTGCTTTGCACCTAGGCATGTTTATATTCGCAAAACAGCACCTATCCCAGTGCTCTGTTAATGACTGCAGATTTCTTTTTATAACCACCAGGTTTATTATCAGCCATCATTGGGCATGCATTCTTTGCAAATGCCGCTTATCTACTTATCTCTTGTATTTCGCCTGATAAACAACAATGTATGTGTCGAATTTCTAATCTGTCCAATAATTTTTTGCTGGTGTTGCAATTTCACTGAACAGTGTATTAAATGAAGACGAACCTAACAAAAAGCTGCCAATGGCTATTTTTGCTTTGTAGTATAAGTAGTGATTCCATCAACTTAGATCTGTCAGCTTAGGATTAAAAAGAAACAAAAAAATGACTTATTGTTTGTGTTCTTTAGAGTCCTAAGCTGGAAGAATAGGGTATTTCAAAAACCAAAATTCCCTTCAGTGCATGCAATAATAATTTAGGATTAATATTATGGAATGTTTATCTGGCCAATTTTTTTCATTTCGAAACATGTTAATTGTTTTTTAATTTTAATTTTTACCATCTTTTCTTTATCTGTCTTAAACTTCTCGTCACAAATACAGGTTAAGTTTGTAAATATTATTTAAATAAATATAAATTTTAGAAATTCATAATAATTCTTGTATTTTCTAACACTCTTCACGAATTATGTCTTTAATCAAGTTTAGTAAATTTTAATTTCGTTAATTATCTTATTATACACTGAGTTTTAAATTTCACAAAGCCTTTCTTTGGAGAAAATAACTTTAAATAAAATTAAGGGGCTTAATTAACAGGTAATGTTTTTAATATTACTACTGTCTAGAAAAATGCATTTCTTTTGTGAAAGAAGAGCAAGCATTCCCATTGTACTGGAATGGGAAAAATAACAGTTTTAAAGATAAATGGATAAGAGAATTTTTACAGCTAAGAGATATTTGTTCTTCATAGCAATAGTCCCATCTACATTTAATGATTTAATTTTAAATGAGTAATAGAAAAGACATATTTTTTCCCAATTATTCTTTATGTCGTAAATTTAAATGTTTCTTATAATTTCCATTTCTCATAACTGTGATTTGTTTTTCTTTTTTCATAACTCTTGCAGTTTTCCTGGTTTCTGCCGACTACGAATGCATAATAAAGCTCCAGGCCCTCTTACTTACGTGGAATATAAGGTAAATTCCTTCTTGGCTACTTTTACGTAAACTAGATTTGTCTTGAAAGAGTAATACATGACTTTCTGAAATATGCTTCAAACACATTTTATAAGAAAGAATTTTAACTGACTTTATTTCGGCTGTAGCTCAAGTAAGATGAATGAATAGATTTATGCTCTCCACCTCAACTTTTTAATCTATTTTTAAAATGAGAAATTAAATTAGTAATAAAAATAAATAATCTAAAAGCACTACGTTTTCCACTATGTCTCGATCTAAAGATATTTTTAAAATCAAAAAGCTTTTCTTCTTTCTCTAATTCACATTTTTAATAGAAGATACTGTATTAGATTTTATCTATCATGTGATTTAGAACAGATTTGTTTGATATTTAATATTACTTTAATCGAAATAATTAATTTTATTTTCATCAATTAAATGTACGGATATTTTTGTTTTCTGATGCATCACTTTCCCTCTTCTAGTTGTCTGAATGAAGGTCGAGATCAATCAAAAAGGACGTTGAATTTCCCCCAAGGAAAATCTGATTTCATCATAGTCGGAATCTTCCCACTGAAATTTAATTTTGTGATCACACCGATCTACTGAAAACCTTCTTCCTCTTGGATATTCTTCACCTCAAATGCATCATTTGTGTTCTTCTTCCCTGCTCTTGGACTATGAGTATCTCTTCATTTTGTTGATTAAAGAAGTAAACAAAAGTGAGATGAAACTGAAAAACTTTGTCATTAAGTGAAGTGTCGTTGCTGTTGTTCTTTGTCGTTCCCTTCAACTTGCGACCAAAATCTCTAAGAGACGTTCTTTCAATGTAAGAGTTGACTGCTCTATTCTTAAATTGGCTTAAGAGCCTGTGGTATCTTATCTGGCGGCCTTCTTGGAAATTTATAGGAGTGTGGACAAATCAAGAACATAAACGACGAAAGAAAAAAATGTTGGAACAGCACATTTTTTATTAATTTCCTGGTTTATTATGGGCAGCCTAAGTATCTGCATTAAAATACAACCCAGATGCACGTTTCTGAAGAGCATTTTATCTTTTTTAGCATAATAAGAAAATTATGGAGAAAATCTAAAGGTCTCTTCGACTTCATTACACAGTAAACTCAATAATGGTAATACTTAAGAAAATATATTCTATCAAACGAAATGTGTTTCTAAATCTATTTCCTTGGTACTTACCACTCGATGCAGAAGTGGAGGCCGACACCAAATCTGTGCCAAGGCTTCAGAACGCAATTTATACGAAAAGTATTTTACTGCACAATCATGATTGTATGTTGTTGTTAATTCATAAAATGACTTCTGTTGCAAACTTCTTAAACAGTATGTGATATTTCTAACAAAACTGTTGTTTCCCCCTTTTCACACCTCACCATCTCTTATTTTTTTTTAATTAAACGTTATTAAATGTCGCTTTTGGTTAGGATGGGATGAACTGCATAAAACTTGTAAACTTTGCATAGATCCTCGTGTAGACTGCTCAACTTCAGTGTCTCGAAGCAGCTCATATCAGTTTACAGTATATTTTAAATTAAACAATGTTCTTCAAGTTAGCTTTCGTAACTCATAAAATGAAGTATTTAGCATAGTCATAGTTTTGTTCCTCTCTCATTTCCTAGTCAGCAATTTTAGTCAATCTCTCAATGACTAGTGTATTATATTCTGTGCAACCAATTAGAGATGCATGTATATCTAGCATCTGAGCTTTCACTTGCAACTCTACAAGAAGGCAAATAATTATAATCCATAAAATTAAACTTCCAGACTAATAAACGCGTTAAAAGACTCTTGCGATTAACTTCGCTCTTGTATTCGGAAAAGCCGCCAGTTAAATAGAGACCAAATATTGAACATATCAGGATGCTATCAGCAAAGCAGCTGGGCTTATCGTGAATTTGCCCGAGAAAAACCAGTCGTGAACTTCTTTGTAAATGAATTCTAAGTAGATCGTCAAGTATATGTGTTTAAATGTGACTGAGATTTTTCGATACGTATTCCTTTTAGAATTTCCAGGGGTGGGGTTATTTGTTTATGTGATTACGCGTTGTTTTATTCTGTGTGAAAAGGAAATGTCGAAACTGGTTGAATACGCAATGGATGACATTGTGAAGTCGAGAAAAAGTACATATTTGTTTTATTGATGGTTACTTATAAATGTATATAACTATATACATAAATATAAATATATATATATATATTATTAGAAGTGTTTTCATCCGTCTATATAGATGTGTGTGTTCGACTGCGATATACCGGATAACCGGAATTTTATTGCTCATAGAGTATTTGAAACCAAATGTATTACGCTCATCCAAAAATACCATAGATATGTTCAAATTATTTTAAAGCTTACAGAAGTAAATGAGTAGCATTCAATTATCAGTTCCATTAGATTACAGGAAACAGTAAAATATAAGTAAACATTTACTTTTACAAAAGGCAATAACGGTACAAATATAGAATCCTTGTGCTCAGGGTGGTAATTCAGGGAATAAATTCCTTTATAGATTCTACAATATTAGGTTAATGTTAATATTCTCTGAATACTAATTATTGCAAAGGGATTTTTGAAAAGGAGTAGAAAATGATCTGGTGTTTGACAGTGCTTAGCTGCACCTTCAGTCATCTATTAAAATATTTCTTAAGTATTGCATTATGAAATTCAAGCTGTAGCATAAAAAATTTTTATTCAGCCACTATCTCCGTAACTTTGATTTAATGCAAAGGAGAAAATCATGGGAAGCAAAAACTCTTAAATATAACGAAATGGGTAATGAAAACTTAACCGCTCAAAATTGCGATAGATTCTTCAACTTAAATTGTGTTTAATTAGTATTTATTATGCTAGTAAAGGTAACGTTTCCATAAAGAATTAAAATATATTTTGAATATCGTGACTTCCCCAAATGGCGATGCTTAATAGGTTTTTAAGTGGGTAATTAATACTGATTTGGGCTCTCTAGTACCCCATCATGTTGGCCGTAGACTATAAATGAAGATGAATGATACAAGCCTTAGAAAGCCAGAGAAAAACCAGCTGAAACAAAGTCTACAAAAAAACGATAAATGCACTGAAGAACCCTTCAGCTGCCAATTTTGAGTTTTACTTTACGGTTTTGTACTACTTTCTATCCCCTTTTAATACGTAAGGAAATAGCTTTATTAAATCTTCTTTACAATTTTACGGTGACAGTTCACGTTCTGCCATCCTTTTAATATCTAAGGAAATATCTTTATTAAATGTTCTTTGTAATTTTACGTAACACTGCACGAGGAAACTATTTCTAGAAATGGAACAGATCATTGTTTCTGCATATAAGATTTCTCCTCTTTTTAAAAAGCTTAATGCAATTTCAAAATTAAACATGAAACTCCTTTTACTTCTTAAAATAACTGCAATTTCAAAAAATAATTATTCCGCATTAGACAATTTTAAACAATATTTTACAATGAATTATAGTTTTCTGCTTTGTTTCACTAGTCAGTCATCACGAAAAATTAGTTCTTCGTAAAATTTTTAATTTGCATTTCTAATTAATACTTCTTAAAAATTTTAACGAGTCCCCCTCCCTTAAAAGTATATCAATCAGAGAGCTGATTATATCCAGAAAACACTACTTTATTTTAATATAATTCATAATGGGCATTGTATATTTTGCATAAACTGCTTTTTAAAAAAGAACTGGTCGTAAAGTATAGCTCGTGTGTCGAGTGTGTTTTGGCCAAAGAGCTTGAATAAAACTGTTCCTTCTTCAAAAACTTTGTGATACATGAGCTAAAGTCTTACGAAATTTCGACTTTCTTTCTAATGAAACATTAAAATGTCAATTTTCTTATTCTCACTGTCCGCATTAAAAGTATTTTACATGTAATAAACGGAAAAAAAAATCAAAATACACTTACTTCATTAACTCAAATAGTTAATGAAAGTAAATGCCATTAAGCACTATAGACGCATTAGAAGCTATTAAAGATCCTAAAATTGCTAAAATGCGTAAATAAATACAGCATAATAAAAGAGAAAATGCCTGACGCTTCTTTGGATTTGTACTTTTAAACTCATATTAACCATGTACACAATGTAACATGTACACGTAATCATTTTTAAAAGCATGGCATATCTTGCCTTGAAATATCTACAAAGTTTCTAATCCTAAAATGTATGTAGTGCTGCTGATGAAATTTGCACATTATATCATGTGAATGTTGAAATAAAATATATCGCTTCAAAATCTGTGCAATTACAAACAAAAACCATACTTTCATATCAATACTTCACACATATATCATCTTTTTTTTTAACTGATTTTTTTTCCTTTTGAGTCCCTAATTAGATATTAATTTTCTCTCCTACTGTTCTGAAAAAGTATTTTCTAATTTGTAATACATTTTATACATATACATCTTAGACTGGAGAAAAGAATTTTGTGTATGCGGGTGCGTTTAGATAAAAACAAACAGCTTTATAAAGTTTTTCTGGAATAAAAAAAAAAAAAAATTCTACTTTTTATTTTAAAAATTTAATATGTTCCAATTTCAGAGTTAGGTTCAATAGTTACTTCTAAACTAAACTAAACTCAGTGGCGTAACAGCCCTAGTGGGCCAAGGCCTGCAGTGCCCGAAATCTGCTTTCTTGACCTTGGGCCCCGGGGTGCGTGAGCATATGCCCTGAACAAGTGGTCAGCTTGGGTCACAGGATCCCCAGTGTTTAGTCCCCGAGTGAACTTGGTGCTCATTTTATCGACCCGAGTGATGGAAATCAAGGGATGAAATGCTGAGTCTACCTTGACCAACCCGGGGATCTAGTCCCGAACCTGTGGTCCTGCTGCTGCGCGATGCGCTAGCCACTGCGCCACCGGGCCTCAATAGTTACTTCTATTCCGGCTAATTTTACACTGAAAGAATTCTGTATGGCAATATTTGTTTTTTGTTTGCGATTTCTATAAGACGCGCAAAATACGTTCCTTTCATTGGTTAGTCACAAATTATATAACACTCAAGCAATGCTGGTTTTATTTTCTTAACGTTTCAGCAATCATATGGGAAAAATGAAAGCCCATACGTAACTGCATATAATGTTATCACGTTTCCATGGCTTCATACTGTAACAACATCCCGTGATTCTGTAACATAACAGGTTTTCCTTTGCGTTTCAATAAAATTGGCGAAGCATAACTCCGTAATATAGCGCAGATGTGGCCGAGTCTCTTTCAGAACATTTCCAGTGTTAATATGAAACTTCATTTGCCGTAAGTTCACTAACTACCAGCAAACTATGTTGGACCTAACAGAATTTTTAAATACTCCTTCCTAAAGCAGTAATATAGATACCATTAATTATTTATTTCAAGGTAGTGGATTATAATTTCAAAATGTGTTTCATATGGGAGATTTTCAGCTTATTAAATTCGATGTAGCAAGTCGGACATCTAACAAGCATATTTTTAAAATAAATTACTTTTAAAATAAACCGAGCAATATTTTATTGCGCAACGTAACTCAAGCGAGAATAAATAGGGGCTTCCCTTCGATGCATAATATGCCGATGAGCATATCATTGAGCCCGAAAGGACTCGATTCGAGCCTTGACTTAAAAGTGTGTGTTCTTAACTTACTTTTAAGAATGTTTAAAAATACGTTCAATATACGTAATTCTAGCCTCCACACACAAAGGGTCCAAAATGCATTCCAGTAATGAAAGATGCATCTAAACAATCACTTAATAAATTTATTTTAATAAAAGTAGTACATAAGCGACGAGTATTGAGTTAGTAGATCAAATTAAATTTTCTGCATAGTAAGTTCTTACAATCAGATAAATAAACTTTTCTCTACATCTCCGAGTAGCAAATTCAGTACGATTACCAGTTACTTTGACAATGAATAAGATGTGAAGTACTTTCGGACAGCTTCCGCGATTTTATGTTGTGAGTCTCATTTTCAACATCTTTTAAAATATCTTGTATTGGTGTATATATAGTGTGACAATAGAGTTTCTAGTTATTTCAAACATAGTGTTTATGAATTTCAGAGGTAATTAATCTAAGCAACGTGTTTGAAAGCTAATGTATTTGATGCTTTCTGTTCATCTTGTTTGAAATGGTTTACAAGAAATAAATTGTTGCTAACTTGTTTTAATATTCAAATCAAAAAAATTATATAAATTTTATGTTTTATATTTTATAATATATAATTATTTTGTGTTTTATATGTGTATTTATAAATGTTAAAAGAAGAGATGGAATTAAAGATGCTAACTCCATCATTCTGAAGATACTGTTTATAGAATACATTAATCCGCCTGAATTTTTGTATTTCTTGTAATATTATTTTTTTCTTTCAAGCCAGATAAATGAAGTTGGTTTTTTTATTATGATTTTTAAAATTTCCTTCCTCTGGTTCATTATCTTTTTATCATTTGACACATATGCTAAAATAGATTGTGCAGTTTCTGAACAGATATAAACATAATAGTTATTTGCTTATATTTTTGTTTATGTATTGAATGCATATGCTAACATTCCGGATGCAGAGGAATCTAAGCTTAGCTTTCCTAATTCATGCACAAGCTTCAACTTTGCGGTCAAACTTAGACCAATAGATGGCGCTATGAATCAGATAACCCACACAGATGGTTTTAAAGTGAAAGCCGGAGAACAAATGAAATCTATATTTCGGCTATAATTAAACTTTTAATTTAGATTTTATTATCCTGTAGAATTTTCTTTTCTTTTATTAAGTGGAAGAGAAGTGCTTGTAGTGATTTTAATTTATCCCAAAACTAGCAATTTAAAATTTCCCCTCTTCCCAAGTTTCCTGCTTGAAAACTGAGAAGAAATTTGTTTCACAGAGAGAAAATTATTAAAGATTTGAGTTTTGTTTTATTTACTTTTCCGTTTTTGAATAAAGAAATTACCTATGAGATTTAAATAAATTTTACAGAGTATTTGAAAGTTTGTTATACAAAATACATTTTCGCTTAAGTCGAAAGAAGTCAGCCTATTTACCTAGCTAACTCTTGACAACAGCAGTTGCTTTAAAATAAATCTGCATCAAAAATTATATTTTACATCGCTAAATTTCATTAAATTTATAAATACACTAATAATCTCACAACTGAAAATAAATAAAATGAGTAAAACGGCAAATGTTATCAAAGGTTCATCTTTCAAATATAGGTAATACTTAACAGTTATT